TTAAGTTCCTCACACCCACCCTATAGTAAGTGATTTTCAAGTTACTTAGGAGTCGGGAAATATCTCTGAATTCTTTGTTATATGTCAAATACTAACCTGATAAGATTTTTCTTGATGATGGCAATAGCCGCTAGCATACCCAAAGGTAATGAATAAAGCCATGCTTGGATTAATACCCAGCAAATAGGAAAAATTAATGGTGGTACTATGCCTTGTCAGTTCTGCTCCTTGTCCTACTGACTAGAGTAATTTGTTTAATTAACCTAGAATTTTCTTGTTAATTACAGATCATTTACCAGACCCAATAAAGGTCACGCTTTCAATTACACAACGATGTACATATTACATTTATTTCACATCTCTCTATGAAGACACAGACAAAATACATTTAACCAGATCTTTAGGTATAAAGCATTACCTTAATTTAGGCTAGCAAGTGACTGTGACCACCACATGGGGCCCTACCTAATGAAATTGCTGTGGCAGTTTGTTTGTATAGATAAATAATAAGCCCTAAATATGAGCCTGTATCCACAATGTGTGTGGTTCACAGACCCAGACAGACCAGCTAGGACTGACTGACTTCATCAAATGGTTGGAGGAACAAGGGCTTCTAAGTGAAAACTTGTAAAGTTGTAACAGTTCTACTTAGTTCTATTATGAAGCATAACCGAAAATTAGCTTAACAGGCCCTTCTGTCTTTATTTTTAGTGTCAATAAAACAAAGCAGTAACAAAAATTTGCATTGTAGCAATGAAACCTTGGCATGAAATCTAAATCCACTGATGAAGCACATATTTTTTATGAACCTGAGACCCATGTATTAATAGATATGTCTTAAAACAGATATTTTGTAAATATACCTTGGTGTCAAATAATATTTTTAAGAAGTCAAACAATAAAGTTAAAAACTTTTCATGCTAATATTTTAAAGGTAGTATTGGAGCTAATTTACAACCGTCTATTAATAGCCATTAAAATGTGATTCAAAGAATGCTTAAGAGAAAAAAAAAAGTAAAAAAGAACATACTTCAGGATCTGTTCACTAAAGTCCTCTCCAACACACATATTTCAGGATCTGTTCACTAAAGTGCCCGCCCCCCCACTACACACACACACACACATACTTTAGGATCTGTTCACTAAAGTCTCCCAACAAGCTTCGATTTCATCAAATCCTGACATTTTAAAAGTTTTATATCTTAAATGACTAGATGCCTAATTAGTACTACCCAAAAAGAGAGAAATGAAAGCTACCCAGAACTCCCAACATTTGATCACACAACTGCTAACATGGTAGATGTGATGGCCGATCAGGTAAGTTTACAGGGACTTAACTGCAAGTGTAGTCACTACGCATCTGCCATGTCAACCTGATTCTCAGATCTAAGAGCAAGAATATCAAAAACTGAATCAAATCTCCAGTTTTAAAGCCAGAATATTAAATATTGAGTAAAATGGAGTTCAGCTCTGGCAAAGGAACAATTTATATGAAAGGATATTCAAATCCCCCTTCACTGAGCAACCACAATAAGCCTTGAAGATTTACATGATTGAGCTAGATAGAATTCAAAGCCAAAGACAAGGGGAAGGAGCTTTTCTTATTTTTTTCCCTGGGATACACAAAGAGAAATCCATAATTAAGCGTCACACTTCCCCGGGGCAGAGTGTTTTCTTACACTGACAAGCAAAATGAGGCATTTCAAAGCACGCATCGCCGTGCACAATGCCATCTTTGCGTAGCTATTGTTTTAATGTATTTCTGGCTATTAGGCATTTGTCTATTTTTGGTCAGCAAGGCATGCATTTTATTTAAAGAATTCTTGTTTTGCATGAAAGGCTGTAGTTATGTTGGTAAAATTACGTTTCTACAATAGTATCTGAAGAATAATTATGGCCTTACTTGGACTGTTCTTATATGCATTTGATATTCAGGAGAGTAGCTGCAACTTGATTGTAATTAATACAATTAAAATTAACTCTAAGTAGGAAAAAAGAGTATCCAAAATCTATTTAAGCTCATATGCTATATGCTTTCCTTCCCCTTGTTTGTCACAGCTGGTTAAGCACACCACACACTAATCCTATATGTTGGAAATGCCAAGCAAACCATGCTTAAAATTCCATCAAAACAGCCAGAGACTAATGACAAACTGTGTATTCAGCAACTCTTTTGTTCTGCATCAAAGAATGAACCATATCACTTCACTCTCTTCCCACCATAACCTCTAAACTACTCCATAACAGAAATTTTCTTAGATTTCATATCCCATCAGTTTCCTCTCCGTGCTATTACATTATATATGGGCATTTAACTACTACCTGTGCGTCCACTGCATTAGTGGAAATAAACATCAAATCACCCAAGACACTAGTTTTTTTAAAATGAGGATTGGGTTCCCCTGTCCACTCGCACCTCAGTTTCTGATTCACCCCATCTGGAGTAATCTTAGAACTGTGCAGATGTATTGTAGGCGATGCTGATGCTGAATAGCAGAAAATCCAGCAGTGTCTCCACCCTGGATAAAGTCACAAGAGGCCAGCGCAGTGACTCATTCTGCACTCCCAGTGCTTGGGAGGCTGAGACAGGAGCACTATAGGGACTCAAGGCCAACCTGGGTGACTGGGGTGTTTAACAACGTTATCAACTTGATGGAACCTAGCATCCTCGGAGACAAGCCTCTGGACATACTTGTGAGGCACTATCCTGACTAGGTAAAGTGGGCAGCGTCATTTCCAACTACATTAAAAGGAGAATGCCAGCTGAGCACACACATTCCTCATTCTGTTTCCTTACTATTGATGCCACATCAGGTACCTCAGGCTCCTGCCACTAGCACTTCCTCCATGGGGAGCTGAACCCTCCAATTACAATCCAAAATCAACCCTTCCTCCCTGGAGTTGTGATTGTAAGAGTATTTTATCACAGCAACAGGAAAAGTAACCAAAAAAGCTAACTGGGACAACAAAAGCATTTTAATTAATTAATTTAAAAAATAATTAGAACAGCTAAAGAGCGTTAAAAGTTACCAAACCATAACTCCAGAGCTTTTGAAACCGGACTGTACTAGGGTAGAGCCTGGAATATAAACATTGCATATATAAAATAAAAATTAATCTAAAATCCACATTGAACTGGATGTCTTGAATTTTTATCAGCTAAATTGGGCAGCCACATGGTTCAGTTCTGCTATAATAAAGTGGTAACATTTATGCACAAATATTATAAATATGATTATAGCTAGACACTTCATCTCTGAGGAGCACAAAAAGGATGGGTCTAAATAAGTGGACTATTTATACCTGAGAAGAAAGTTTCCTCCTGAGTTTTAGCGTTAGAAGTCGATATTAGCAGATCAAAATTTTCCATGGGATCATTCCCAGTGTCAAACAACCAAGCATGACAGTGAAGTGCCTACCAGTTCCTTTAAACTCTGAGGCCAAAAACCTTATCTTGGTAGACAAAGTATTGATGGGGCACCAGCTCTGATGCTCTGGACATGAGCTTTTGCAGGGGAAAATATTTATGTAATTAATAACATGAGCACATGGTAGCTTTTGATAATGCAGTGGAGGAAGCTCTTTATAGTTTTACAATTTTAGCATAAAAGCAATGATTTGGGGTCTTACATAAACAGATATTAAATATGCATTTTTGATGTTCTGTAGAGTCTATTTAATCCCAGGTTGGCATACTGCAGCATATGGGCAAATGGGAGATTTCCAAATGGAGAATCCTCTGTGATTAATGTAGCCTTCTGCCAGATCTCTGATTTAAGGACAAACATTTTACTTAAGTAATTTAAGTATTAAGTGACATTCTTTCATAAATACCCATAGAATTAAGTTATTTTAACAAGTACTGATGAGTTTAGTTTATGCAATGCTTCCTTATTCAACAGTGTGAAACTTTTCACTTACCACCAGATTGGAATAGCTATGTCTGAAAACTGAATGATGCATGGATGTCGAAGTAAATTCCATCAAACTGAGTGAAAAACTAAAAAATTTACACAAGCCCCACAGGACCAAGAATAACCATGGCAGTAGATAGAAAGAAGTACAGAAAGGCTGTCATTCCTTGGTGAGGATGTTAGGAGATGGTAACCATCATTTGATTCTGGTGGGAAGTAAACACATGAAGCTACAATAGAAATCAGCATGGAGGTCCCTCAAGACCCTGAAACAGAGCTGTCATATATTCACTCGGGTATATCCCAGAGTAGCTCTGGGTCAGCACACCACAGAGAAACTTGTGCATCCATGGTGATGGCTGCCCTGTTCACAACACAGGAAACAGAACCAGTCTAGATGTCCATCAACAGCTGAATGAAAAAAAGAGAGTAGTACATACATACAATGCAATTTTATGCAGCTATAAAATGAAATCACAACCTATCTGGGGAAATGGATGCAACTAAAAGGCATTATATTTAGTGAAACAAGCCAGGTTTAAAAAAGTAACAGTATGTTTCACAAATATGTAGAACCTAGATTTAAAATTGTGTTTATTTATAGACCATGAAACTAGAAAGTAGATCATGAGGTGTGAAGAAAACACCTTAAAGGAGGTTGGAAATAGACAGTAATGGGATGTACATGGTAAGAAATTAGAAGGGAGAACTAAATGGGGGAGAAAAGGGAACCTACTGGAAGACTGGAGGAGCATGAGAGAGAACAATGAGAGAGCAGAGTGAGTGAGAATAAAGCATAATAAATAGACATGAAGAAGCCATGCATGCTCAAAACGAAAGAAGAAAAAGAGGAGGAAAGAATGAGAGGAGAGAGAGAGGAAGAAATGTAGAAAAGGAAAATTGTCTCCCAAGACCATGGTTAGTTGGGTACTTCCAACAGTTCAACACACCTGATTTTAAGCACACACATACACAAACAATTTTATATTATTTTCTCTTTAGTAACAAAAGCTGAAGACTTTTAAAACTGGTATTTCCAGAACAAAAAAGATGACATAACTGGTTTCTTCTAACAGGATAGCTTACCAAATCCAAAGGCACTGGAGCCGCCAATGCTCTGAGAAGACTGGACACTTGTAGAGGTATACAGGCCCGTCACCAGCAAGCCGTCAAAGAAGGTGCTTGTTGAGATTGCAACTAAGATACAGGAGGGGAAAAGAAACTTCAGTTAGTACAGTGAGAGTGATCAGATACACTCTGGAGTATTAGGTGTAGTCATGGACCAATTAACCAGTTATTTTTGCTCTATCTGTAGTGGACATGTACATATGAGCATGCACATACACACACATACATACATACATACATACATACACATACACACACACACACACACAAACTATAGAGGAAACAAAAAACCTCACACCTTCAATGTTTATAATATTATAATTGCTGGCACTAAATTTAGTTCATAGTCTTACCTTTTTGCATTTATTTACATATTTTCTAGCTAAATTAAAAATCTGAAAATAATGTACCATCAAATAGATCTCCTCCCCATCTCTACTCCCATCCCTGAAGGCTATCAAAGCATGGCTGGAGTTCTGGCATTCTGACAAAACATTTTTTAAAAACATTATTCCATACTGTGGAAATAATCTCTCGTTGGCTGAATGAGGAGCAAAGAAATGTGTTGTGCTGCTTGTCGTGGGGTCCTTGAAGTTTCTCAGCAAAGCACACTAATCTGCATGAGTCAGCCTGCTCTTCTTGTGAACAAGAAAGGGACAACTGTGTGTTTTATGTTTCAGAGCAAAGTCTACAATCGTGGTCCACACAATTTCACAGCCACAAAGCTGAACGTTCCTCTGAAGGCTAGATTAAATCAATTTGTTTGTCACAATCTCTGTGTTAGGCCTCTTAAAATTGCATCTTGGTCCCCACCCTAAAAACAGATCACGACCTCCTCCTTGCTATGATGGTGCTTTCTTGCCTATCTTTGATAAGATAAAAATGATGGCATTTGGAAGAAGCAGCAGAGGGAGGTAATGACATTATTTTGGTAGTGCACAGATCAAGGCTGTCATTCCACTGGATGGCAATAAGGAGAATGGCCAGTCACGTTAACTCTGATGAGATGGTTTAAATGAAATTCCAGGACATCCAGTGAGTAGAAATAAATGGTCTGAAACATTCATATCATACAGCATCAAACAAGACACATGTATAATAAAATAGCCTCACATCACGCCATCTCCCAAATGGCACTGGGTGTTCGAATACATTGCCTTTCCATCTCCTAATAAAAAATAATAGTATGTTTCAGTGCTGAAATATAAATCACTCATCTGGGCTCTGAGCTCAGCAATCTACATGCATCTCATTTAACTGTCAGAGCGTGTGTGAGGGCAGTACTGTTATTACCCCAGCATAAACATGAGCAGCATCTGGGACAGCAGCCAGGGCTGGCACCAAATGTTCCTGATTCTTAATCTACTTTTACTTTTGTCGCTGGGACAGGACATCCTGACAAGCAGCAGCAAGGGGAAGGCTTTCAGCTCCAAGTGGCAGCCCATCATCCCATTTTGGGGTAGGTAAGGCAGGAACTGATGCAGTTAACCACATCACACCCACAGTCAGGAGCGAAGAGGGAAACAGCTGCGCCCATGCCATTACCTGCCTATCTGTGCCTGTCCAGCTAGCTTTCTCCAGTCTTGCACAGTTCAGGGCGCCATGCACAGGGGATTAAGTCCACTAACTATCAAGACAACCGTAGAGACATACCCAACCTGGCCTGAATCCTTCTTCAATTGAGATTTTCCTCCCTAAAACTGAGATTTTAGGTTGTGTTCAAAGTAAACATTGACACAGCACTGTTTATTTCATTTCTCTCCTGTTTGTTTTTTTGTTTTGTTTGTTTTTCTGTTCCCTTCAGATCCCAAAGTGGCAGGCACACTGGCCAGTATTTTACAGCTCTTTTACTGGGTTGTAGACATGCATGAAGGAAAAATAAAGCAAAAACCTCAGTAGTCAGTAACATTGTTGTAAAGAGTGAAAGACTATGAAGGGGATGACTCCTGAGCAAAGGTAGGTAAGGGACCAGGCCCAGGTATCATGCCCTCCTCTGCTACCACATGCCTGCGTGGGCTTAGGAAAACCGCTTCATCTCTCTGTGTCTAAATTTCCTCATCTGCAGAATAATATCCTAACCCCAGGGTCTCGGAGTCTGTTTAGCTCAGCACAAAACCCATGGTTGATTCTGTGGAAGCTGATTTCCTCTGTATCAGTGAGTTCAGTGAGAGGGGAAGGGAGAAAGAAGCAGAGAGAGACAGAGACAGGGAGAGACAGTTTGTTAGGGGACTGAGCTAGGCCCCCCAGCATGTTAGGGGACTGAGCTAGGCCCTCCAGCATGTTAGGGGACTGAGCTAGGCCCCCCAGCATGTTAGGGGACTGAGCTAGGCCCTCCAGCATGTTAGGGGACTGACCTAGGCCCCCCAGCATGTTAGG